TATATATATATATATATATACACACACATATGTATATAGATATGTATATATGTCACGTATATTCAAGTAAGACGTAACATTACTAAAATATGCTACAATACAGTAAGTTCACATACAACTCGTTTCGCGAATGTCTATGAACACAACAGATCCCATCAAATTTTTTCTTTTTCGAGATATGTATTATTGCTATATTAAACATTATCATACTTAATACAAGATCATAACTTAATAGAAATTAATACGGAAGTTGATGAGAAGTTGATGTAACTTTAAATTTAATTAACATAGTTAAAAAATACTATACCGTTATTTTGATATGGAAAGTAATATTCCATCAACTAAGAAGTTATTTTGAGGCCTATTTCTTCGTTGTAGTTTTCAATGAACAAAATTCATGTGGTATTATTTCTTCAATATTTATTTAAAAATAATACAAAACGTAGAAATATACAATTCAAGATTCCCATTTTCCTACTGCAATCATAAGTTATGTCAGAAGTGGGAATTGTTGTATGAATTTTCTTACAATACGTTATTGAACACTAATAAAGGCATATGAAAAATCTAATTTATCTCAGCCTATATGCAACAAAAAATATGAACTACGATTTTCCATTTATGACGTCATAATTCAATAAGGCAATTAAGAAACGGAAACTTTAAACTATACAGAAGAAAAAAATAAATTTAATTAACCTATCTACCATTGCATTTCGTATAATCTTACTAATATACAATAAGAAACAATGATTGTGTGGTGTTAATATAACTGCATGTAAATGCGTGTAAATGTACTGCATGCAGTGGCGCAATTTGATGTGGACGGTGAGCAGCAGTGCTCCAAATGTAATTACTTTGGTTAAAATGATTGAAATATATGCATGAAACAATTTATCGATTAATTAAGACTCCCATCTTGATCTATTATCAAAGAACAAAGTATAGTTGATGTTGTGTAGTTTTGCATCCTAATCATAACTGATTTATCTATCATTTGATTAGCAAGAAATTACACTACATTCAGTTCACATTTCCATGAAATCGACTACACAGAATCAAAACTGATACATGAAACATCTGTTAATTTATCAGAGCGTTTTCTTTCGTAATAAAATCCAGCTCACATTTTGGAAAATAGTGTATGAATGTACGTAGAGAAAAATCGATCTAGTTATGTCACTAGATGCGCGACAACGCAGCGTCTAATTAAAACATTAGACGGTATGTTTAATGCACTCTCATATTATCATTCAGTTCATACTTGAATTCAATAACTTACGATCTAGCAGGATTACTTTGTTCGGGGAACAACGAGTCGTAACTGGGTGGTAGATCTTTGTCTACGACAGGCGAGGACATCGCGACCTCTAACATGGGAGCCGTTGGCACTGCGCGATTGGATCCCTGAGCTCCGTCCGCGTCCGGCAAGGAAACCGGCCGCGAGCACACATTCGGACCGGCGCAATCCGATGACCAGCACAACTTTTGTGATTTCTTGCAGATCCATAGACACAAAATGAAGATTATGAAGCAGAGAATCATGGTGGTAACTGCTCCTACAGTGACTTTTGTGGCAGTATTGTCCTTGGGATACCGATCATTGATCACGCAATTCACCTCATCTGAGCATATACTAAAAGGACAATTGTAGATCTTGTCACATATATATTCCTTCCGAATACAGTTGTTGTATCCGACCGCCTGATAGTGCTCGGAATTTGTCTGATCGCACTCTGCAAATAAATTATCAATAAAATAATATCACTCATTTGTTACAACAATGACACAACTCAAAAACTAAAGCTTTAAAAAAAATAAGTTAGAATAATTACTTTGAATCATTAACATTTTATAATTATTAATTTTTAAATCAAGTTTATGATAGTAGATTGTAGAGGAATAAAAGTATATTAACGATGTATCAAGACATGGAAAAAGAGCGCAAACCATGTGACATCTTTAAAGAAGATACGAAAGCTACTAAAATATTATAAGTAGATGTTATAAGCTATAAAATATATATATATATGTAAGTATATTCTTTTAAATTATCTTCTTCCTTTTTTTCTTCAAATTTTCTTTTTCTACTAAAAAAATGACTTTGAATTGTAGCAAATGAATAATTATGTTTGTTACATTTAATATAAATAATATATACGTTAAAAAAGCATACTCATGTATGGGGTATAAACTATTGTAAGGTCCAGAGACTGTCCATCTGGTACTCTTTCTTTGGAGATGAATATTTCGGTTTCTATCATAGCAGAGTCCGATCGAATAGACCACAGTTTTGATTTTTTAACAGGATCATATTCCGCATATATATCATAATTAGGTGACCGGCTATCATTTATGTTACCCAAATTGTCCTCAGGGTCAGGAACCGGAAGGTATGTTGTCTGGCTGCGGTCTATCTCTCCACAGAACTTGCTTGTGTAAAAACCATCGCTTCTCTTGAACTAATAAAATGTTTATCAAGAATCTGATACAAGAGCTAATTCTAATTGTATTTAAGCCTGTTTTTTCCATACTCCAGGATTGAACTTTTTGCATGATTTATCTCTTTTTCCTCAACGTGAAAAGAAAATGAAAAAAGCTAAACTGTACAAGGAAAGTTCAGTTCAGGAGTATGGGAAAAGAATAGGCCTTGCATTCACTTACCCGTATGTAATCAACACACCGATCGCCGTCGCGACGGAGAAACATCTTCTGAATAACCGCGAAGAGGCCCTCGTTTTTGCCAGTCCGGAAGACGAACGTACAATTGCGATTGGCCTTGACAACCCAGTGATCGAACATGTGGTGCGGCATGACGATCGCCGCGGCACCGTGTTGCATGTCAAGCGTATGCTTCTTATTCAGAACATGGCAAATCTTTTCGTTCTCAAGGCTATCTATGTGAGCATGCAGAAGTGAGGTTAAACAAGAAAGAAAGGGAACTTTCTACTGGATGATTATTCGCGACTTACATTCGGCGTAATGATTGTAATCATAACTGCCGTAACGCGCGCACGAGCACAGGTGCGCGATCACGATCAGCAGGTAGACGACGCCTGCGTCCCGGGCCATCTTCGCGTCGCGACCGCGCAGAGCTGGGTGTCACAGGGCCATACAGGTGACAGGACAGGATGCGTAAGGAACGGGGCCAAGACTCTCGCGAGCACCGATAATGAGGAATACCGTGCGAAATACCGCGGCGAGATTTCGGAGCGCCGAAATTAATTTCGTGGAGCCGGAGTCCAGAACGGATTGCGTGATGTCGTTACGCGAGATGCGTCTCGTGCGTCACGCCATCATCCATCCGTCATTCCGTCCCCCCACGGGGGGGTGACCAAACAAGTCCCGATGAAAGTCGACCGATGCTGCTGCCTACCTTCGAGTACCTTCGAGAGGACAGACATCGATCGCGCGATCGAGACCTCGATGAGAGGGCCGTGTCCCGCTTTTCGATGAGCGAAAGAAAGAGAGATAAAAAGATCAAATCGTTTGATAATCAAATAGAAACGAAAAAAATGCTATGCGAAGCGAATAGAAAAATCCACGTGGACTTCGGCGAGATAGAAACGGGCATCACAACTTTCAAGTGGCTGGAAATATTTAACAAAAGTTGCGTTAGTGTCCAATTTCTTGTTTACATTTAATATATGTTCGTTTCTATCAATGTAGATTAATTATAATAATTAACTTATTTTTATTCTTTTCTGGTTGAGAATTAAAAAAAGATAAAGAGTAAATTAAACCGAAGTTAATCTACATTGACAGAAATGGACACGAAAGCGATTTTGACCAGATTTTTATTAGGATTAAGAGAACGCGCTTAAAAATGATTAAAATATTAATTTTTTAGTTTAAAAAGGGAGCGGATTATTATTTTCTACACATTTTAAACTGTATAAAATGATTTTTTAATAAATGTCTAATGTTTAGTTGTAAAAAGGAGGTTGCAACATCAATTAACTTAAAAGAGAATACGTCTAAAAATCACTACAATGTCAAAATTTTTAATTCAAAATTAATTAACTAAATTATTTCCCGTATATTTCCAGCTAAATATTCGAAAAGAAAGATCGAATATAACCCTTTTGAATGATTAGAAGGAATTAGCATAACGAAATAAAAAAGATTGTTTTAAATTTATACTTTATTTGCTATTTGCTTGTAAAACATTTAGCTCTGTATAAAGCATTCATATTGACTGATTAATTATGTATTACAGATCGAGCAAACTTACGAAGCTCGAAGAGATTCGTCTACCAATCCGCTGGATCACGTGTTTGAATTATGTAGCTACTCTTGGTCTTTACTTCCTAATCATGCGTACAAGTGCAAAATATACTATCGACCATTCATGCCATTCACTGTAAACGTAGATTACTTTACGATCATAAATTCAGCTGGCGAATGCATGGAAATCCAAGTCCGCGGAACATGCATTGGTATGGAATTCTTTCCAATTAATGACGTTGGAAAGAATCTTTATCCTTCCTTTCTTAGTTTCTTTCTTTTTAATCTAATTTATAAGGAATAGCATTTTATAAGGATTGTATTAAAAGACCGAAAGATTAATCGGCGCGCAATCATATCTGAAATAAATTTGATTTAATAAAACTTAATATATTATTCGAAACATCTAACTTTGACCGATCAAGGCCTTCTCTATCGTACTTTATGTACTCATCAATCGTTTTTATAAGTCTTAATTGTCTTTATCTTTTGTTGCCACACTTGGACATATCCAACCCAATTCAATTACTTATAATTTTCATAAAAAATTATATTGTAACTTTTTTTTTTATTAAAACGCTACATTAAGGAATATAACGATAGTATTATGTATTATCTTTATTAATAAAAAAAAATTACAAGAAAAACATTAGAAAAGAAAAATCGAATATATCATTGCACCTAAAGTAGCACAAAAGAATTAAAAGAATCTTTTGTAATTAAAGTTTTCCAATCTTTGAAAGTTTTTGATGATAAATTCTTTTGGAGTAAAAATAATTGATGGAGCCTGTCAGAAGCGTCTCAGAAATTGATCAATTCTGTTATTTTAAAAATTTTATAATTTCATAATTTCATAATTTTAATATTGAGCACTCGATTATATCTTCATCAATTTTTGTTGTTTTTTACTTCGTGGAGTTGATCAACTTGACTTCTGAGAGACTCCATTAATTTGTACTTCAAGAGAATATATCATCGAGAATTTTTTAAGTTTAACACAAGTTTTACTTAATTACAAAAAATCTTAATCGAGATGTTCAATTGTTAAAACGCAACAAACCTTAACAGAAGTATTTAAAAAGAGATAATTACGATCTTATATTTCCGTTGAAAAGCATACGTCATCTAAGATTTTTAAATAAATTCAGACACGGACAATGTTTAATTTAAGTTATGAGTCATTAAATTATCAACATGAGTTCTGAAATTGACAATGTTTATGATGAATGTTTTCGTCATCGTATGACGTTAATTGTTAATCATTTACGCACGCAGGACCTGTGGTCTCCTCGTCCGCCACGAGATTAGTCATGATGTGTACAAGCGAGAATCGTGAGGTGAAAAAACGGATTAAACTCGTCAATGATTCGAAAGCCACGGCGACTTTCATGTTCGATTCGCTTCGAAGGCCGTTTGAAGCAAATCTGTGGCACGGACACATCGGGCCCTATTCTCACAAATTCGTAACAATTACTTTTGCACCACGAGAAAACGGAATCTACGCGTGCCATTTTCCGTGCCTAATCTTGAATCACGTAATGGGAAAATTTGAATTTTCAAAAAGAGCGCAATCCTCGTTGCACACGAAATGTCATACTATTTATAATTATCCAATTTTTCAGATTTTAGTAATTAATTCTATATCAGTTCTGTATTATTTTATTAAAAATAAGTATTTTAAAAAGCAAATGATATGATTTGCTTTATACATTTCAGGCGCGTCACCTTGTATTTAATATCTTTTTGACCTACTAAAATATTTATGTAATATTTTTTTGACCTATACTAAAATATTACGTAATATATGTTTTCGGCTCACTAAGATATTCAGTCGAAAAAAGTTTATTGCGTTTCAAACTCCACGTATCAAGAAAAATGTTTCATATGCTTACGTGACATATTCACGATGATTCATTTTTACAGAAACCGATTATCATAGAATTATACGGCTATTGTTGCACAGCGTTGCGTAAAACGAGCACTCAGATCCATTTTAATTATCCTACGAGATTAAAAAATGGCTTCGAAGGATACACAAGCGATACTGTTATTACCACGCAAAATCTTCCTACGGTTTCTTCGTCGAAAAATTGTATCGATTTCGGTCAGGCCGACGTAGAGGCGGAAAACGCTGAGCGAAAAATTCCAGAAACCCTGTGTCTTACTAATCACAGCCAGTCCGATGTATTAATTAAATGGGACCAAGGTTATTATTTATCAAATCAATGTATGCTATTATTAGCGTTTTATTTTACTTACTATTTATCCCTTTACCTTCTTGTCTTACCTTTTCAACTTCTTATATTTTTGTAAATTGTTTTAAGGACATAGAAATTAAAATTAAATATTGCTAATATAAGTACATAGACCTATTCTTCTGTCAACAATTAATTAATTAGATAATTTTGTATATAGATGTTGAAGGAATTTTTATTATAACATCCACTGTCACAAGAATACCGACGAGCCAAACGGCTCTGTTTGAAGTCGCGTTTAATCCCAACCGAACAAGCAGTTTCTTTGCGAGAGATCTCGTTGGAGAGATTTTTGTCAAGTCGCAAGAAGACCACTTTGGAGAAGAAACTCTGACATTCCCTGCAATCATAACCGTGCGGCTAATAGGTGCGCATTCTCTTTCTTTATCTGTCTTTTATGTTTACATAACGCTATTCTTATCTAATTCCTTTTTTTACATAGGTCACTCCTTTCGCGTTTGCTCCGATGGTTGGATTCCTCAATATGAGATACCTCATATAGTTAAGATGCCTCCTTGTGTACCCTCATCGCCGACATACACCACATTTCTAATACGAAGATACGGGCATTTACCACTGATGTATCGCTTCGTACCGCCAGCATCGAGCCACTTTGTCGTGAAACCGATGATGGGCATAATTTATCAGTATTTGCATTTAATATTTTATATGATCCTAATTGCTCGAATCTAGCGTTAAGTCTCGTCGCAAAAGTATGCCGTGTATTACATAAATAATAGTTTACAAGAAATATATTTTTTTTAATTATTTTCATCAGATAAGCATCGTTATTTAAAAATCTATAAAAGAAAAATACTATATCTAGTTCGAAATAATTTTTTACTATAAACTGTAGTGTAATTTATCATGATATATTATTTTTACATTCGTTTTACATGACGTTTATATTTATTTTATTTTTTAAAAAACATTTGAAACGATTTATATTAATATTCTGCATTCAATATCATTTTCAATTTTTATCCGTCAATGATGCATTGTGATCTTTTTCAGAGATTATCAGATCATTACAGTCTGTATGTTACCTGGAAACGATGATAAACGCCTTTATATGGAACGTTGGGCGATACGTTTGAATGGAAATATGAAATCGGAATGTTTTATAGATTTTCAGGGATACACAGAATATGCGAATGTCAGTTTTAGTGATCGGAATACCGTGAATTTCGCATCGACGTTTCCAGGCTGTCAAAGTCTGCAGCAATTTTATATGCGAAACATCACTCGGCATGTAATAAAGTAAATTTTTGTGATATTAATATTAATATATATAATTCCGTAGAATATATATTAATATTTAGTAACAAAAATTAATTACATAATGAAACACTGTTTAAAGCACCAATGAAAACAATATGCAAAATCAAAATTCCTTTAATGTGATTGCCGTTAATTAATTAAATTTCAAAAATATAAAAACTGTATTTTAATTATATCTCTAATAAAAAAAAATTATATTTCTATTATAAAAATTAATTAAAATATTTTTAAGAGAGACTGTTAGTTTATTGTTGTGATTGTCTTTGATTAACACCAATTCTTTAGTTATGAATTCATTAATGTGACACCTGAACTTCAAATACGAAATGGAAATGGCAAAATTTACTCAAACGATATAATTACTCACGAATGGTTATTTTGTCCTACAACACTTGGAAATTACGAATTTGACATAAACTGCATATTGGTCGTACTGAAAGATGAAATTCTCGTTGGCTCTAGCGTCTGTGTAACATTACATGTAACAGGAAAATGCGAATCTGGTGTTCTTGTGGTAAATTAATTAATAAATAATAAAACAATAGC